TAATTAATATGTTCCAGAACTTCACAAAGGACCAGGAAGTCTAGTAGAGGGAAGGAACATGCCAGAAATCTTAACCCTTCACTAAAATGATAGACACAGGCGTCCTCCTCATGCGTGTGAGTCACATCGGAAAGAATCATCCATGCTGGAAGAGAGACTGCTAACAGCCGGCCCTGAACATTCTCCCATCCGCCGGCCTTCAAGCCCACTGAAGCGAACACTTCAGGAAGGAAATAGAGCAGAGCTGAATTCCCAGCCATGTGAAAACTGTGGGTGGGAGGAGCTAGCTCTGAAAGATCCCAACCTTGCCTGTCTCCTATGTGTGCCTGGGCTTGAAAGGTGCCTCTTATCTACATTCAGGGGGGATGCCCTTAGGATACAGGTTGGTCCTCCACAATGGCCGCTCCCGCCTTGTTCTTTCCGATCCCTTCCTGGCAAATCTTAGCAAGTTCTCATCCGGTGACATCAAACCAGAACTGCCACATTCAAGCTTTTCTGCACTGAAAAAGCAGCCGAGAGGTTCTAATGTCTCTCAGTTTTAGGTAGGAAAAATAAAAATGGAAACAGCTAACATTTATAGCAAGCCTCCTGAGCTTCAGGCAGTCCAACACGCCACATGCACTTAAAAAGGCCAATTCAGCAGATACTATGACTTTTATGTAACAAGCACTGACTTCCAAAACAGTTAATACCCTTGAGTGGGCAAGGCCCTTTGATATCTTTTCTTGCACTGTGGCCAAATACCTGACAAGAAGCAACTTAAGGGAGGAAGGCTTTATTTTGGCTTTCGGTTTTAGGGAACACAGTCTGCAACAGCAGGGAAGTGGTAGCAGGCAGTAATGAGAACACCAGGCACCTCACTCACACTTTAGTGGTGTGGGAAGCAGACAGCTAGGGTTGGAACTGGGACCAGGCTATAATCAACTAGTTCTTTCCTCAGAGCTCTGTGTCTTTCAGCTAGGCCCCACGTCCAAGAGGGTCCACAGTCTTTCAATATAGCACAATGGTCTAGGAATGCAGTGTTCAAACACATGAGCAGGAGACATTTCACATTCAGGCCATCACATCCCACCTCAAGCCCTCATTAGGTGCATTTTTTTCAAAACGCCAAGTGCATCCGGTATAACCACAAATCATCACTAGAGTCCTATGGTTCCAACACTTCAAAATTCCAAAATCTCTTCTGAGACTCAGGGCAGTCTCTTAGTTGTAAACCTCTGTAAAACCCAAAGACAGGTTACATATTTCCAGCATGAAACGGTACAGAGTAAACACTCCAGTTTCCAAAGGGAGGCAGGCACAGGAAGACGGCAAGGAAGGATGGGATCAAAATCAAGACTGAAGCTCAGTATGGCAAATACCAACTGTTGAACCTTCACACCCGACATCCGGGGATCACGGTAGCACCCATGACCATGCCTGCTGTATTTGCAGTGAGTCATGCTATGCCACACTCCAGCGCTATACTGCCGCCTCGAAACCAGGGTTCATTACTTCTAAATTCAGTCTCACTCAAAATTTCAGGATCTGCCTAGGCTGCAACCAGATGCTTTGACAGATGTACCACAAATGGTTCTAGTCCAGGTCCTGGTAGAGTCCTTGATCACTTCTGCAGCCTCAGGAGCTGGATCTTTGTTGTCTGTTTCAATCAGCATTTTGTTCTTCTAAACTCTCTGATGCCTCAGCGAGGCTCTCTGCTCTACGGCCTTCTGAGACTTCTCTAGCCTACAGCTCCAAACTCTTACATATTCTTTCTTTAACTAGGTCTTAAGGCCCCGAAACCACAGGGTCAGCCTTATCAGAACAATGGCCTGAATTCCCAGTACCAATTTTTCTGTATTAGGCTGTGATCAAACACCCAAGAGGAAATGACCTAAATGAGAACAGATTTATTCTAGCTCGTGGTTTGAGGGGACACAGTTCAGCATGGTTGGGAAAACTTGGTCAGGAAGCTTAAAGACAGTAGGAATGTTGGAGAATTTGCTCCTATCTGAGCAGGTGAGAAGGCACAGAGATAGGGCTGGAAACAGGGCCGGGCTTAATAATCTTCTACCCTTCCTGCTCTGGCTTTGTATCTGCCAATCAGGCAGACACTAAAAGTTTCTGCAAACGTCTACACCGCCATAAGCAGCTGGGGATCAGGCACATGAGCTTGCGACACTTTGCGTTCAAATGAAATGTGTCTTCTGTGAAAAAGAGACCAGAGCACAGCTGTCAGCTATCCAGAGCACCAAGGGCCGCACGCTGGGGTCTGGGGCCCTGACGGTATGCTCAGGGTCGGGTGAGCATTTGAGACAGCGTCTGCTCTCTTTCCCCAGCCTTTTCTTGTCCATCACAAGTCTGAATGCCATCTCTAAAGTGACAGTTTCCCTCCAGGGTCATCCCACCTCCGTCTTCCCGCTTGCTGCCGCTTGTTGGGGAACTCTGTGGCTTGACACGTCTCAGTCTCAGTCTCTGAGGGCATGGGTGACTTACGGCCTTTTGTCTCTGTGTGGAGTGGATGTGACTTGCTGGGTGCCTTGAGGCAGTGTCAGGGGGGCTGTAGATTATCCCAGTGCAGCTTCCCCAGCCCTGGCAAAGCAGCACCAGACAGCTGTTATTGCCTCTCCATTCGGTGAGAAGAAGGAGGAGGAGGCAAACTATATAATGTTTCTAGGTAGGTGGCTGGATGGGCAGGGAGAGACCAATGTCTGGCTCTTGATGCTGATACCTGGCTCTCTTTGTCTCTCCATGTCCTCCTGGCCTTTTTCAGGTAAATGCTACTATATCTCAGGGACATAACTAGGGTGTTATAACCTTGGGGCATAAGGCTCTTTTCTGTGGGGGCTGAGTGTCAGAAGTTCAGATCCTGTGCCTGTGGAGGTCATATCTCTGCTCTATATGCCCCCCTTCTTCCCATACTCAGGATGCCAGCAATAAAAACCTGGTTTTTTATTGCCTTTTCATCTCTTATACCTCCCCATCAATAAGTTCTATGAGACCACGAGCCATGCTTTTTCCCACATATAAATGCCCAGTCTGGGTCCATTCTTAACATAGAATAGGCACTCAGTGTTTGTTGAATGAATAATAAATGGTCATTTCATTCTTCTCTGAAGCCCCAGCACTGGCCTCAAGCCTAAGGGCAGCTCTGAGACTCTCTGACAGGATGACAAAGCATGGTCCTCACTTTTAGGGTAGAGAGTCATCTGTCTTAATGCACCAAGGAATGGGAAAGATGACAGATTTTGCAGAACTTAGTGGGACTTCTGAGATTCACACAGTCTAACATTTTCATCTTACAGATAAGGAAACAGGACCTAAGCAAGCACCTTTCCCAGGCTACCTAGAACCCAGGAGCAGAGACAGCTGTTTTGTTTCTTAAAAGCTACACACCAGCCATTTCTCACCAGAAATGCTAACTGATACGGGTTCAGCTCAAGCCTGGGCCCCTCAGTTGCTAACTTACTCCCTAGCCTGGTCTTCTCCGGCATAGCCCGTACCAGCAGGCCCAGGATTGGAGCTCTTGTCCCCCACTGACCCACTCATTCTCTACCATGCCTGGTCTCCTGGGAAGGGTGACAGTAAGTTTTTGATACATTGATCAGTACAAACCCTGCATCACGCATGGTCTGGATCAAATGTGGGGTTGGCACTAGAATGCAGGCCAAGTTGCATGGTGAAGAGGCATGGCAGAAGAAAACAGACAAAGCCTATGAGGGGAGCAGGCTCATTCTTGTCCTACTTGGGAGTGTAGGCCAGTTGGATAAAAGAAAGTTAGTGGAAAGGAAAGGGACGGAAAGCCAAAGATGAGACATGGGGTTGGGGGTACAATGGGGAGAGGATGGAAATGTGATCTTTCTCCTCCTGAATTGCACGGCGTGTTCTGAGTTCCTGTATCATTTCCCAGGCATCCTTTCAGGACACACTGGCTAACGGGGCTGGCGGGGTAGGGCAAGGCGGGCTGGAGGGAGGAGAAGGGAAGAGAGCAAATGGAAATTGTTGGAGTTCATCAGTTCTCAGTACTCTTCTAGGTGTGCAACCTCAGGCTCAGGTCCCAGCTCCTGGAGAAGCAGGGGCAGGACTTTGGTTCTGCATAGCCAATGCCACCCAGGGAGGCTGAGATCCTTCAGGCTGGCTCCCTTGCATGGAGACGGCTCTCCCCCATCACCACCAGTGGCTCCAGAGCATGCAAGGAGCCACCATCTGGGCCTGTAAGTTTTCTCAGACCAAGAGGTGTGCCAGAATGCCCAATCTAATTCTCAGGGGGCAACTGGTCCACCCAGAGGGCCAAATCCCCACCCCCTCGCAGAATGGGACACGAACAGCTATGCCATGTCTGCTTTTCAAGAGAGCCACGACTGCTCCGTGAATAGAAATCATCTCTTTGATCATCCATCCAGCACTGGCCAGAATCACTCACAGTGACCCACCAAGCTCCCAGCCCCTTGCCCCTCTCTCTGCAGCCCATTCAGGAGCAAGAACAAGAACGACCGGCTTTACCAGGGCTTAGAGCAGAAGGCATGGGCTCTCCTCACCTTTCCGGGGCTCCAAGGCTCTGCTCTCTGGTCAGAGGAGTGCCACTCCCGTCCTCTGCAGATGAAGCTGCCGAGAAGCCCAAAGCCCAGCGTAGCTGAGGTGGTCCTGCTAGCCCTCACTCCAGCCATCTACTGGACTTTCAGCCATAGGCTCTTTGGCGATGATTTTGTTGGCTACTTCATCTTTATGGAATCTAACCCTGTTTGAATAACTTTCAGTCTAGCCCCTTTGCTCCACGTTTTGCTTCCACCAATACGAAAACGAGCCTTGCGAACCCGAGCTGCACAATTCGGTAATTATTATTTATACCCGCCTCCTGACTCCTGTTTCTTATGCCCTAGGGTGTCCCTGGAGTGTCCAAAGGCTCCAGGCTCATCCTATCATCCCATGAATGACTGCACCTCTAGCCACACAGGAAGCTGGAGCAAGGATTCCCACCTCCCAAGCAGCACACGTGAAAGGAGGGAGGGTTCGCAACTCACTCCAGCACGTCGCGGTTGAAGGGCTTCTTGCTGTTGCCCAGGAACTCTCCTATCATCTGGCGGCTGAGGCCTTTCCGCTGGAGGAGGAAGTGGGCCACACCAATGGGGGTGTCGGGGATGAAGCCACGGGAGATCAGGAACTGGATGCCTTTGTCCGGGTTTCTGCAGAGGGGTGGGTGTGGGGAGGAGAGAGGAAGCGGAGGCTGCTTGGGGCTGCTGTCCTGTCTTCCGTAAACCCTGGGGACCCCCCCATACTTCCTAGGGACACCCCCCCGGACTCCCTAGGGAAGCAGCTGTCACCTGAACATCACATGTAGTGTGTATGGGGGAAGGGGTTGGGGGTAGAGGGAAATGGGGACAGGTATGTGGTCTGAAGTGAACAGAGGAGGTCTATCTAGCTCAACAAGAACCCAGAACAAGTAGAGACGCTCCTGTCTTTGTCCATACCCTGAGGAATAACCCCCAAACCCCCCCAGGTGAGCTGTGAGGCGGGAGCTGGTGCTTACTGGGTTGCAGGAACTGAGTGAGCACCAGGAACCGTTCCTCAAATGTTTGACATTTTCAGGACATCCAAGCGCGTGGCGTGGCTGTCTTCCTGGCAATTCTCTTGTATTGTGTTTTGCAAAGGGCCACCTTCCCATATATGGGGGGAGGAGGGAGGACAAACCGGTTCTTCACCAGGAATAGTCTGGGAATCAACTGGCTTAAAAGATGGGAGCATCTGCTTTCGTGTGCACGCAGAAGTGATCTGGGGGTCACGGTGGTGTGCTAGGGCAGGACTACGCTCACAGAGTGGGCAGCCTGCTCTACAAGGAGGTGGATGGCTCTGGCGGCCTCACTTTACCCCTTGCCGGCAGGTGAGTGGTGTGCCACCTTCCTCTTGCCTGGGAGCCTGCCTGCTAGTCTGTGAAATGGGAGGGAGTGCCCTATCTCTAGATACGGCTGGGAGGATTTTGAGCTATGAACTGCAGCGAGCATCGTGAGGCTGGGAGGCCGTGTCTCACTCATCTGCACCGGACAGGCCTGACATGGAATAAACAAACAGTTGTATGAGTACATGAGCACGGGAAAGGATTTCTGCTCTGGGCCGGGGGCTACGAGGGAAGGATTGGGTTACTGAGCATCCCGAGGACTTTATGTCTCACGGGGGGGGGGGGGGTGTGTGCCTACTTCCTCTGTGTAGCCCTGTGTGTTCTTACACGGTCTTGCTGGGGTCTCTTGAGTCGTGGCAGTCTTTAATTGCTCTCCTTCCATGCCCTGGTTCCCTTTCCATCTCACTTGGTTCCCTCTACACTTCCTTCCTGTCCTTATCTCCTCTCCTCTTACTGGACCTCATTTTTACACTCCGACTCCACCATCTCCTCATCTTCGCGGCCCCCGTGAAATAACACCGCTTTCCTAACTTCATTCTCATCCTCGACTCTCCTGCTCAGTCTTCACGCCGCCTGGGCCCAACTCTGTATTTTCCCACTTTCCAAACCACTATTTCGCCTTAAAGAGTAATAGCTGTGAGGAAAAAAAAAAATAATACAACGTATCTGCCTTACACACTCCTTGGGGGCTCCGGCGGGGCCCGGGTACCAGGCTAGGCACAAACCGCCTGGGAGGACCCTGGGAAGATGGTGTTAGGGCATGGGAGCCTTCAAGACCTTCGCGACCCCTCCCTGCGGTCCTCCCCGGGCCTCCCAGCCCACTCACAGGTTGAAGAGGTTGAGGCCGATGCGGTACAGGCGCTTGCGCAGGGTGTCGGTGGAGAGCGTGGGGGACCTGCAGCTGGCCGGGTTCTCGCAGTGGTAGCGCGGCAGGCTCAGGATCACCGCCTGCAGGGCCTCCTTGGAGGCGTTGGCGGAAACCTCCGAGGCAGACTTGGCCGACTTGGTGGAAGCGCTGCCGCTGCTCCACTGCTCGGAGCTGTCCGCGGGCTCGGCCTCCGCCCCTTTCCCCGCCGGCCCGGCCCCTTCCTCTTCCTCCTCGGCCTCCGCGGCCACCGCCGCCTCCTCCTCCACCACCACCTCGGCCGCCGCGGGTTCGCGCGCGCTCTGGGAGCGGCTCTCCGCCGCCGCCTCTGAGTCCTCACCCGGAGGCTCCCTCTGTCCCGAGGCCGGGGCTTCCGAGACCTCCGGCGCCGCGCCGTCCCCCGGCTCGGTCTGGACAGCCGCCGGCTCGCCTGTGGCCTGGGCGGTCTGCGTGCCCAGACAGTTGGCCACCGACAGGGCGGTGGAGGAGGAGACGGAGATGTTCTGGCTGGCGATCTGCACCGTGACGTCCCGAAAAGCCATCATGAGGGTACCGCCGTGACCCTGCGGCAGGCCGCCGGGCTCCTCTCCGGACACCGGGGCGTCCTGCGCTTCGGTCTCCCCGGGGCCGGGCTTCGGGTGCAGCGCCTGGTGAAGCTGGTAGGCGCCACTCTCCTGCAGCGAGCACATCGTCTTGAGGCTCCAGGTGCTGAGGGCGTCGTCGATGGACTTGGCCAGAGACTGCACCTGCTCGGTGAAGGAGTCCTCCAGTTCGGTGAGCGAGCCCGCCAGGGTGGGCGGCAGGGAAGGCGAGCGCCCCAGCGGGAGCCCCAGCAGCCCGCAGCCCTCCAGGAGCGCCTTCTCTGCCACCAGACTCTCGGCCGTGGGCGCCCGGACCTTGCGCAGCGAGATGCGCCGAGGCAGGCGGCTCTCCAGGAGCGAGTTCCGGATCTTCTCGAAGTTCTTGCTGAGCTGGTACTGGCGGAAGGCGGTTTGGATGGTGCACGCGGCGCGTCGGGATACCAGATGGCCCCCGTACTTGTGTTCTAGCATTTCAATCTGCAGCAGGGGCGGAGAGAAGACGAGGGCCTAGTTAGGGAGGGCAAAGGTGGCGCGGATCAGATCGGTACGGCCCAGCAGGGACCCCACACGGTAGCCTACATCCACAGACCCCAAGCCCGAAGTCCGCAGCAAGACTTCTAGAGGCAAGGTGGAGGATTCCATCCAGGATTCCTGATGCCCCCTGCCGCAGTGGACAGGGGTATGGGGATGGAAGTCCATTTAGCTAATCATCTGATTATCAAAGAATGCTTACATCAGAGACGCATGCAGTGTTTATGAGTTATATACGTGAATTTATATTTAAATACAGTAAAAAGGTACCAGTTAGCATGATAATTAATATTGATAAAAACGTTAATAAAGATACTTAGGAGCTTGATGATGGCTGTGTGGGAGTTTATTACACTATAAACAGATGGACAATTAAAGAGAATTAAAAGTGAAAACTTAAACAGTGATGTCAAGATCAATCAGTCAATCAATCAATAACACACAATCGGAACCCCTACCGTGACCCCTGCTCACCCGAGGGCACCCTCAGCACTCATGTCACTGCGGTGGGGTGCTTCTGTTTCCCTTTCGGGGGCCCCGACAGCTTGGCGTCTGGGTTTGACCGTTTTTTGCATTACCAGCCCAGATTCAGGCACATGGGAAGAACTTAATAAGAGTGCACGTAACGAGATGGACAGCGGGCCAAGGGCAGGCTGAAACTAAGGACGTAGGCTTCAGTAGCGCTGTGAACTCCTCGGCAAGGCCCTTGAGCCCTCTGGGTGCGAGAAGGTGAGGACTCTGAAATTAGGCTTCGCTCACCCTTGCCCTCCGCTCACACACCGTGTGCTTCTGCAGCTGTAAATCTGGATGCGTGCACTGAGGGCCAGCGCAACACGGCCATTCCTCCACTCTCCAGGGATCACGAGGGGTGGGGCACAGGTAGATTTGCTCTCCGTGGAGCAGACGGAAGGGCAGGTCCAGCCCTCAGGACAGCATTGCAGCCTTCCTCCTGAACTACTCAAGCCACAGAAGGCTGTGTCTGGGATAGTTGGTTCAGGGCTCTAAGCTTCAGGGAGAAAGTGTTACAGGGAGTCGAGTGCATGTGTTACAGGGAAGCCTTGAAGGTGACACTGACACGCATACCAGGATGGACTTGGAGACATGGCTCAGTGGCAGAGGCCTTGCCTAACACATGTAAGGCCATGGGTTTCATCCCCAACACTGCTTTGAAATAATCATACCAGGGCTGGAGAGACGGCTAAGAGGTTAAGAGAACAGGCTGCTCTTCCAGAGGACCTGAGTTCAATTCCCAGCAACCACATGGTGGCTCATAACCATTTACAATGAGATCTGGTGCCCTCTTCTGGTACCATGCAGTACACATGCAGTAGAACTTTGTATACATAATAAATAAATAAATCTTGTTATTAAAAACATCATACCAAGTATGTTGTCTATCAGATTACTAAACACTGAGCAGCTTAAAATTATATGTATTTTTTTTTCTCATGTTCTTTACATCAGTACTCAGGACACAGTTCATCTGGGTTCTCTGTGTAGGGCAGTAGTTTTGAGGGGCTTTCCCACCTGAGTCAAGGCTGCATCTCTGTTCTACACCTCAGTGGACATACTGGATTCAGCACTGAGAACCAGCCAAACCATGATTTCTTATCTGTCTAGAATGATGTCTGCAAGAGCAGGAACAGATGCCCCAAGGCAGAAGGCCAGGTTTCTCAGAGGCAAACGAGGAGCTACATAGAGAAACCAGGTGAGCTACTCTCCAGCTATGTGGTAGGCAGAACTCCAGGATGGTCTGAGTGAGTCTTCACCCTGATGTACTTAGCCTATATAATTTCCTCCATTTGAATATGCGCTGTCTAATTGATGTGATAGACACTGTTCGTATCAATTTACAGTATATTGGGAACATATTTCCAATCAACTGACTTTGAGTTAACCGAAAGGGAAGTCACCCTGGTGGGTCTGACACAATTGGGTAAACCTTTTAAAATAAGACAAAACCTAAGGTGGATGATTTCCTGTGTGCCTCAAAGGAAGAAACTGCCATGTTTTATGTGGAGAGTAAGATGAACAACACCCCCGTGGACCCCCCCCCCCCCCTTGCTGTATCCTTTCTCAGGGACCATGAGGAACTCATTCAAGGGCTAGACTTCACATCTCTTTCCCATTTCTACTTCCTGGAGAAACCAAGATCCAAGAGTATCTTCGCAGGTGATTAGGTGATTAGATCCTGTAAGCAACTGAAGGAAGATGTGGAAACTCGCTACCTAAGATAGTTCCAATACGACTCCATCTGCTTGGTATAGTATCGCCCTCGTTAGTTTTCTTGTCAACCTGATACAATCTAGGGTCATCTGGGAAGAGAAGAACCTTAACTGAGAAAATCTCTCCTTCAGATTGGCCTGTCTTCAGGGCTTGTTCTTGATTAGTGATTGATTTTGGAGGGCCCAGCCCACTGTGATAGTGCTGTACCCTGGAATAGGTGGTCCTGAGTTGTGTAAGAAAGCAGGCTGAGCAAATCATGAAAAAGAAAGCCAGGGAGCAGCATTTTCCATGGTCTCTGTTTCAGTTCCTGCCTTGGCTTCTCTCAACAATGGACTGGGACCATTAAATAAACCCTTTCTTTCCCAAGTTGCCTTTGGTCATGGTGCTTATCCCAGCAATAAAAAGTGGGCTATGATAGTTATTGTCATACTCAGAGGCAGAAGACTGGCCAAGATGACTCCAGGAGGGTCCACCCTCCAGCTCAATGTCTATGCTGTCTGAAGAAGCCAAATTTTAGATTCCTCTCTTTGTCCTACCAAATCCTTCCTACGCTTTAACCCTCCACTGCGCAACTCTGAAGGGTCTCCTAGTGGTCTGTACTTTGAACGCTTGTACCCCAGCTTGTAACACTTGCAGCCTTTTAAGGAGGTGAGGATTATCTGGCAGAAGTAGGTAAGTAAAGATGGGTGATAGCCAGCCCTTCCTCCTGTCATTTTTGTTTCCTAAGGAAGTGAACAGCCCCCACCACTACAAGCTGAGATGCTACGCTGTGCTTTCTCTGCGATTATGGATCAAACCCTCTGATGTATTGTGAGCCACAATACATCTCCCCCCTTTAAATTGTTTCTCTTGGGTGTTGTGGTCATAACAACACCAACAAGTACAGAAAATTGGTGCCACAGAAGAGGTTGTTCCTGCAGTTAAATCTGACCGGGAGGTGCTTAGGCTGTTGGAACTGGTTCGTAGGGAGAATTTGGAAGAGTTTGGAGATAGGAGTTTCAGAAACCCTGGAAGCAGAGATTAATTGGTTGGAGCTCCGGAGGCTAGAGTGGTGATAAAAATGTGGATGGTAAAGACTGTGCTCATGAGACTTCAGATGGGAACAGTGACTCTATTGGGAACTGAGCTGCAGCCGTTTGGATACAGCCTGGGAACAGTTTGTCTGCTTTCTGCCTGTGCTCTGAAATTTTAAGTGAGTCTGAATTAAAAAGCAACAGGAATTTGAAGACAGCACAGCATTCAATTTGTGATATGGGTGTTGTTGTGTGCTTTCAGTCAGGTATGTAGTCACCATTTGGGGCAAAAGCGGTGCAGAAACACGTGAAGAACCTCATTTGTCTGGAATAGCAGCTATCCTGGATAGTTTCATGTCAATGCCACAAGCTAGAGTGACCTGAGAGGAGGGAACCTCAATTAAGAAAATGCCTCCATAAGATTAGGCTGTAGATAAGCATGTAGGATATTTTCTTAATTAGTGATTGATGGGGCAGGAACCTGCCCGTTGTGAGTGGTGCCATCCCTGGGCTGGTGGTCCTGGCTTCTGTAAGAAAGCAGGCTGAGCAAGCCATGAGGAGCAAGCCTATAAGCAGCACCCCTCCATGGCCTCTGCATCAGCTCCTGCCTCCAGGTTTCTGCCCTGCACGAGTTCCTGCCTTCACTGCTTATAATGATGAACGGTGAGTGAAATAAACCCTTCCCTCCCTGAGGTGCTTTTGGTCATGGTGTTTCAGGTGTTTCATCACAGCAGGAGTACCCCTAGCTAAGACAGCAGCACATTTAAAGTGGCGAGACCACCCGCTGGAGGCTTCAGGGTATTGCACTGCAAGCTCATTCAGAAGACTCACCTTCGCAAGAAGAGTGTCATGGGGCACTCTGCTTGTAAAGGACTCCCCAGAGAAGTACTTTCCCTGGTCCAACCTTAGAGACACTCAGAGGCTGTTGTAGCCTTGGTCTAAAAGGGTCAAGCTACTGCCAAAGCTTTCGGCAGAACTTGCCCGCTCAGTTTTGCAGGCATCCAGAATGTAGAGAGTTACGAGGTGATGGAGGCGTGGACCCAGATTTCTAAGGAAGGGCTGGGGTCACATCCCCTGACAGAGAAATGGGTGAAACTTTGAGGGTGAAAACCTGAGATACAATACGATCTCGGGATGCTAGAGACGCCAAGGACTTGGACCATCTGTCTGCCAAGGAAAGATGTAGGCACTGGTGGAATCGGCAACCCCCCCCAAAAAAAAAAAACGAAAACAAAAAGAGGCCATATGGATTGCAAATGGCATGGCTGCCTGAGCTTTATGGCGCTTAGAGGATGCCTCAATCACCAGTTCTCAGGCATGGAGCTAGAAAACTTGATATATTCCCTGCTGAGGTTTGGTCGTGCTGTAGTTCTTCCTTTCGTTTCTATGTTCTCATTTCAACATTTTTGGGACATGAATATTGACTCTGTGACACTGCATACTGGAAATATGTAACTCATTTAAAAAAAAAACAACAGAGGCTCACAATTAAGAGATTGCTTTGAGTCTTAGTGAGCCTCAGTCTTGATCCCCCTCCCCAACTTTTGGGGGAACATATTCATTGTTCTTAGTGTTCAGTTTCATAAGGACAGTTGTTTTCAAACAGATCGTGTACTTTGCCAGTATTTGCTTCTTCTCTCTCCCTCTCTTTCGTTCCCACTCCCCTGAGACTCTGGCTTGCGGATGGTGTTGAAACCGTTGACTTAG